AGCACCGAGGCGGTGCTTCAGCACCCGGGGGTTATTTTATGACACAATGTCACTTTAAAGTGGTTAAATAGGTGCCGAGAAAGTTGAAGTGATTTTGGTGTAAGACACAGCTCTTGTTCTCCATCTTGACTTGCGCGTTGGCGCTGACTAAATTATTATTCAAACGCCTAGTTTCTCGTGGGCCTTAACGTTATAATATGTTTATTATGTAATAGGCCTTTCAGAAAGCAATAGTTATTATCTTACGATAAACTGGCATGATAAAACTGAGTTGTCACCGATATAAATGTTGTAGCAACGTTACCTAAAGTCGGGTTTCTCGTGAAACAATCAATTGCATGTAGACTCATATAAAGAGCACTGTGCTCTAGATATTGTAGAGACTGGCGACAAAATGAGCGTATGATTTATTCGCAGTTTTGATACTTTCCTTTCTTTGTAGTTCACCTGTAGTCACTTACAATGTAACGCACCTCAAAGCGCTGCTTGAGTAAGAACCTAGGTGGATCTGTGCAAATTCCGGTTGACCTTTTTTTTGTTGGTCGGCAGGCTCCTGAAACGGTGAATGTATCGACCGAATTTCGGCGTGCCTGCATAGTCACTCGTGCACCATGGAGCGTAGAAGGTGCGTCCACTTTATAGAGGCTCAGATACGCGTTAACGCGCTAAAAACGGGCAATTACACGCTTTCGCAGGCCGCTCTGCGCGCGCGCTCCCAATGCAGACGCTCCAAAGATCTTCAGTATGGATGGATGGATGGATGGATGTGGCTGTACCCTTTAGATCGGGCGGCGGCTAACGCCACCTAGCCGTAATACTTGGTGAACTAACCACTAGACTTATCTTTTTTTTCCTTTATTTAGTAAAGTTGAGCACTGGTACTTTGCAGTGAAGGGTTTAACTTTCACTCGTGCCTTGACTTTAGCCACCAATCAGATACCCGTCTTTTAGTTAATTCTACCTGCTCAAAGTCTATTATGCCTTCCCTGTGTCTAAACCCCAGTGCTTTGAAAAACTTTGCGCCGTCGCCCTGAACTTTAGGGTGAAGCACTTTACGGAACAATACCAAGTGTTCGGCAGTTTCCTCTTCTCCACATGCACTGCATACCGTGTCTACCTCTTCGCATTTGGCCCGATATGTCTTGGTTCGTAATACTCCCGTTTTGGCCTCAAACAGTAGAGAACTACCCCGAGTATTATCATAGATCCTTTCCTTGTCAAATTCCTGCTTAAAAGTTCGATAGCTCTCTAGTGCGCACTTCTTAATCATGCTAATTCTCCACATGTCAGTCTCTGTTTCCTTCATTTTCTTCTTAACCGAAAGTTCATTTGGGTTGTCCACCTGCTGTTTGCTAAGTATTTACCAGTCAATTTGTGGGTTCGCTTCCTCTATTTTAGCTGAATACCTTCCTAACCCAACGCTCCTCCCTTATTTTTCTTACTCGCTTCACATATTTTATCTAGCTGCCAGCTTCCCTGCCCTAAAATAGTGCCCATCCCATATCACCAGGTACTCCCTAATTTAGTGTATTCCCGGGAGCTCTTAAGGCAAGCCTACCTTGCTTTAGGAGCTCACTTGCGCTCAATGAGGATGAATGGATGGTGGATAATTGGATATGGCAGCACCCTATAGATTGGGCGGTGGCTAGCGCCACCAAGCCGTAATACTTGACCAAAAACTACATTTATTTTTCCTATAAAGAGTGAGGTTGAGGATTCGTACTTTGCAGTGAAGGTTCACTTTTCACTCGTGCCTTGACTTTAGCCACCAATCAGATAACCACCTTTTAGTTAATTCTACCCGCTTAAAGTCTAATTAGCCCACCCGGTCCCTAAACCCCAGTGCAATGAAAAACTCTGCGCCATCATCCTGAACTATAGGGTGAAGCCATTTACAGAATATTATCAAGTGTTCGGCACTTTCCTCTTCTTCTCCACACACACTGCATACCGTGTATACTCCTTCGTATTTGGCCCGATATGTCTTGGTTCGCAATACTCCGGTCCTGGCCTCAAACAGTAGAGAAGTACCTTGAGTATCATCTCAGATCCTTTCCTTGGTGATTTCCTGCTTAAAAGTTTGATAGATCTCTAGTGCGGACTTCTTAATCATGCCGATTGTCCACATATCGGTCTAAGCTTCCTTTATCTTCTTCATCGATAATTCTTTGTGGTTTGGCCCCCTGCTGTTTTCTAAGTATTTACCAGTCAATTTCCTGGTTCGCTTCCTCTATTTTGTATCGACATTCATCATGTACAAGTAGCTGAACACCTTCCTAGCCCACCGCTCCTCCCCCATTTTTCTTAATCGCTTCTCAAATTTTATCTTGCTGCCAGCTTGCCTGCCCTCAAATTATGTCCATCCCATATCACCTTGTACTCCCTGATTTGGTGTACTCCCGTGAGCTCCTAAGGCAAGCCTACTCATTCTTAGTTGCTAGATTTCTAATCTTGCTTGAAATTTCTATCGCATGCACAAGACCGCATTGCCGAACGTCAGACCACGAACCATGACCCCTTCCCATATTCCTCTCAAAACATCATACCTATTGTATTACCACAGTGCCCTGTTTTTCATCACCGCTGCATTCCTGTTACCTTAAGTCGTCACGTATATTTCGTGTTCCTTTAAGTACTCGGCTTCATACGCCCAGATATATGTATTTATCTGTTATCTCTAGCGTGACCTCCTGTACTTTAAGCTCACTACCTTCATTGTCATTAAAAATTATGACTGCGGATTTTTCTTACTGAATCTAAAATCTAACTTATCTCCCTCATTGCCGCAGATGTACACCAATCTCTGCAACTCTTCCTTGTTGTCGGCCATTAGCACTATATCATCTGCGTACAACAATGCTGGTAGTGCCCGTTCAACGAGTTTTCCATGTTTGCCGAAAGAGACGTGGAAGCCCCTGCCCACTTCCCTCTAATTTGGCCTCTAATCTTTGTAGCTACATCATGAATAATAAGGATGACAGAGGACACCCCTGCCTAAGCCCCCGTTTTACCTTTGCAGGCTCGGATGCCTGTTTTTCCCACTTTATAGCTTCCTTGTTACTTTTATAGATATCCTTTAAAAGATTAGTGACTCCATCTTCCACGCCTAGTGTGTCCAGTATTCCTCAAGATTCTTCTTGAACCACGCTATCGTACGCTCTCTAGATATCTAAATATGCTAGCCACAGGGGCCTCTGTTCCTTTTCTGCTATTCCGATGCACTGCGTCAGTGAGAACAGATTTTCTTCCAACCTCCTGTGTTTCCGAAACCCATTCTGCAGCTCCCCCAGGACCCCCTCATCCTCTATCCATGCCTGCAGTCTTATAAGTACCGTGCGCTAACCAATTGTGCCACTGGGGAATACATGACTGCAGTCTTTCCTTTATACCATGGGACAACAGCACCGCCGCTACTGTCATCCACCGGAGAATCAGCCGAGATGCGGCGCGGCCACCTCGTTCATTCCACTGCCCCCTTCTAGTGCACTGTAAGGGCTGTTCCACGTGATTCCCGCACAGTCGCAACGCACGTGCCGGGACCCCTACCGCACGCAAGCCGGGGACAAATAAGCCAATTGGCGACGCTCTTTCATTCTCCACAGCGTCGCCAATTGGCTTATTTGTTCCCCGCTTGCGTGAGGTAGGGGTCCCGGCACTTGCGTTGTGGCTGTGCGGGAAGCGCGTGGAACGGCCTTATCAGAGGCCCAGCCAGCGAAGGGTCGAGAGTGAGGAGCAAGCGCACGGGAGAAGGGGGCTTCACTGTTCTCAGCTTTGCATTTGCGTATCACAGCAGCGTCGTGAGAACCCTTAACAAGGGCCCAGCCAGCGAACGGTCGAGAGTGAGGAGCGAGCGGACGGGAGAAGGGGGTGTCACTGTTCCCAGCTTTGCATTTGTGTTTCACAGCGGCGTCATGAGCCCACATTTCCGGGTCTTCCTGAGAGGTGCCCAGCCAGCGAACGATCGAGAGTGATTCGCGATTGGACGGGAGAGTGGGGTGCGGGGAGGAGATAGAGTGAATGGTGAGAGAAGAAGTGGCGAAGCACTGCACCTACTCTCTCCTCACTCTCTCGCAACACATGCTCCAGTTGCTAGGGGCGAGTTAAGGCACGCGCCCGCAGATGTTGCAATGGGAGCGGGAGTGAGAATGGTTAGATAACAGCTGCTGGTGCCCGGCCGCCGCTGTGGATGCCGCTGCCATATGCTGACATAGCTCGACTAAGAACTGCATTCGCATCTAAAACAAATAGTCCACATAAATTGCCCTTTGTGCGAGGTGTCTCCCTAACACATGTAATATCGCGTTAAAAAGCGTACAATTTCGCCTAGTGCCAAGATATGCGAAAGGCGTTACGATTGGTTTAAAGGCCCACCCATTGCAAAGCGCAAGGCTATAATTATTAATCGTAATCATAAGCAGTAACAGGCAAGTGCGTGGCAGCACGCGTAGCCTTACGAATGTGGAATGGTGACTTCGTCAACTAACAAATAGAGAAGATATGGCGCAGTGGGCCCTTCCCTAAAGACGCAGTGCGCCTTCGAGCACGCTTGAAAAGTTTCACAGATGCGGACGTTCTGTACCTTGCGGCAAGAAGAACGGAAACAAGGGAATTCACTCCTGACGGGGAAGGCGATCTGAACAGTGCCAGATTACGCTATCGCATTCGCCTTTTCAGCTTCACCTCTTGATAGTGAAGCTCTAGCGGCGTTTGCACATCTTTGTTTTATGAATTTTTCTGTTTTGCCATGACCCATTACGCCAGCCAGTTGGTTTATCAAGGACTGCATTATTGGAAGGAAATTTGTTTTCATAGGCATGCTCAATGTACCATTAATCACAAGTGACTTACGTGTGCTCGGAATGTTTGGTGTGGTGACCGAAGTTGCTTCAGTTGGTGCAGGCGTGACTGTAGACAGAGTGGTAGCCCGTGCCGTAGGAGTTGCTATAGGTTTCGGAGTCACTGTACGATGTGTCGGAGGCGTAGGTCGCGGTTTCGGAGGAATGGGCGCCGTTGCTGGCGAAGGCTTCGTCGGAGACCCTGCACGAGGTGTCGGAGGCGTGGGTCGCGGTTTCGGAGGAATGGGCACCGTTGCTGGCGAAGGCTTTGTTGGAGACCCTGCACGAGGTGTCGGAGGCGTGGGTCGCGGTTTCGGAGGAATGGGCGCCGTTGCTGGCGAAGGCTTCGTCGGAGACCCTGCACGAGGTGTCGGAGGCGTGGGTCGCGGTTTCGGAGGAATGGGCACCGTTGCTGGCGAAGGCTTTGTCGGAGACCCTGCACGAGGTGTTGGAAGCGTGGGTCGTGGTTTTGGAGGAATGGGCGCAGTTACTGGCGAACGCTTCGTTGACAGAGGCACAGGTGGTTCGGGGATGGCAGTCGTCTCTCGTACGATCCTGACTTCGGTCGGTAATGGGGACCCAGACCCAGACCCAGACCCAGAACCAGAGCCGTACTTCCTGTTATCTTCTGCACCGCCGCCATCAGCGCCACCTCCGTCATCGTCTGCGTGACATGGGTACACAATGTGGCCTCGAGCAAACTTAAAGAGAGAAGAATTTCTGCTAACGTTGCATGGTTTTTCACTAAAAATGGATGCAGAATCGTGCTTAATTGGGTGCGTTGATAAGTACTCAAACGATTAATTATCTAAGTAAGCTTGGGGCGGATATACCTGAACAGCAAGAGTGCGATACATTCAACTAAGCAACTCGCTCAGGGCTCAACATCAGTATGTTACTGACACTCCACGTAAAACTGCCTCCGGACTCTTAAACGTTTCAAATGTTTCACGACGTACCACTGGTGAATGTAGGAATATATGTGTGCGCTTATTTTCCAAGGGTAAAATTTGAGATATGATTTCTGAAGTTGCCTCCAATTGCTTAACATATCTTGAAATCGATGATGACATCCCTCGCCTTCCAACCACCTTGACCCGTCAGCTCCAGGCAGTTGCATTATGCTATAGGCTTCGCAATTTTTCCGACTCTAACGTGCCATCGGCATTTGCATGAGCATTCATCCGTGTACGTTCTGTCAGGCCCCGGAAACTGAGCACCAGTTTGGTATTTAGGAAACACACATGCTCGTAGCGGTTGCCGGGAATCCTATGATCCGAATAAATTACGTGCAAAGTAAAAAATGTTACACCCAAAAGGGTGCAAAAGGGTGCTTTTACGAGAAAGCACCCTTTGCAACACCCTTTAACACCCATAAATGGTCGATTGAAAAAAAAGCACCCATTTGTTTGGGTGCTTGCCTCGATAGCACCCTAAAATAGGCTCTAAGGGTGCCTTTATGCCTGAGAAGGGTGTAGGTGACGATTCATCAGATGAAAAATGCAGCATAGGAAGAACACATAATTATAATATTTGAGATTTTACGTCTGAAAAACCTCGATAAGATTATGAGGGTCGTCGTAGTGGAAAGCTCTAGAGATTTTGACCATTTGGTGTTCTTTAATGGGCACTGATATCGCACAGTGCACAGGCTTCTACCTTTTCGCCTCCATCTGAATTCGACTGCCACGGCCGGCATCGAACCCGCGACCTTCGGATTGGCGGCCGAGCAGCGTAGCTACTGCACGAATATGTGGACCTTGCGTTAAATGACGGCCTAGACTTATAATGTGTGAAGGTGCTCTCCGAATACAGCAGAATGCCAGCAGAAGCAAATCGCGTTTCATCTATAATGGCAATTAACTGCAATCCACGTTACGAAAGCTCACCTTAGCGTTGGTTGTAAGCTACATGTTTGCTGTGGATTATATAGAGGAACATAATGTTCGGCCGAGTATGGGTGTGTGTGCGTGAGCCTGCGCATGTGTTCGCGTGTAAGCGCGATTGTGTGTACACCCGTGCATGTGTGCGTGCGCGTGTATGTGCGAGTCCGGGCTTGTGTTAAGCGTGCCTATGCACATGTGTACGCCCATGCATGCGTGCGTTTATGGTCGCGTGTGTGTGTTGCCGTATGTGTGTATACGTGTATGTGTGTGCGCCTGTGAATAAGTATGCGTGTGTATCAGCCTGTGCACCCTCAAATTTTGTGTGTGTGTGCGGGAGGGGGGGGGGGCACTGCTTCTTAGTGTTTAAGGTCCCACATCTGTTCAGACTGGGAGTCTATATGGGAGGTGGCTTAAGATATGGCGGTGGTCAACGCACTGTACACGGACTATTCAGTACATCGAAAACAGCTGCACAATTTCGTACCTCATCATTGCTTACGAACTTGCTGTGGTAGCTGATTAGGTCCGATGAGGCGCTTCTACGCTCGAAAACGTGGGTTATGACCAATTCACACGAAAAGCTGTCACTGCACTTATGCACAACCATAGTTCATATTAACAACGTTTAACAAGAACGTGCCCTGCCTTTGCTAGAGGTGCTTAGCTAGCTCATTGGGCAACCATATGGAATTATGTGCTGATCATGTGGTCAGCAAAAAGTTTGTTATAACAACCTCGGCACGTTCCGTGGTGCGTGACAAGCCTTCTAAACATCCGCGACTGTGGATTAAATTGTTTCAGCTTCGACTACGCATTCAGTGTTTGTGGCACCATACGCGGAATTGCCAGACACAGACAATGCGAAAAGAAATTCCTCTGAAAAAAGGTGTAGCGATGCTCTCCCGCTATTGCCACCGAGGACGAAATTATTATTGTTTCTGGCCAATCAATGGTGCACTTTGTTTTCCGCAAGTTTTGCTTCACTATTTTTCGCCCACTGCAATCGCATTCCTTCAAAATACTCAAAGAACCCGAGGCTGGTAAATAACCTGCGTCGCTGTGCGACTGGCTGGAAGGAGAGTTGCCATTTACAAGGAGTCATTCCGCGTCGAACGGCCGTCCGCCAACTGCGCCATAGCGTTTGCCTTTTGGCGCCGTCTTGGCGGGTTTCCCACTCCTCCCACCCTCCCGCTTACCCCGGCCAGCGTTGCTCGCACAACGGCGGCGTAGATAAGCGAATAGTTGCGTCACCAAACACCTGCGTCGACAGCTGCGGCACCGCCGCCAGTGCCTCCTTCTTCTCTCTCTCAACGTTGCCCTCTCTGTGTTATTCGTCTTTCGAATGCGTTGCGTAGGTCTGGGGTCTTGGTCGCTGTGTGTGTTCTAGCGAACAAGCGCATATTCGATGGTGGTCACGACACCGTGTTCGAAGTGACGCTCGGGTTAAGGAATATTCATGGAGTGGCGGACACGGACGACGTGGGCCTGTTAACGGTGAGTGTACTGTTTTTGTAGGTAGTAATCATACAGCGCTAGCTGGGCGCCTGCAGCAGCTCTGCCGAAGTAGGCTGCCAGCCATTTACAACAGCATGCGTTCGCGGGCCTGTTGCAGACCTAAACGTGTGACTTAACGAGTTCACACTGCTATGCGCGATGTTGTGTAAGTGCCTGCATCACTCATACAGTGAGTGATGTGATCACTTAACAAGGGCGGGATTAGTTGCTGATCGCACATTGTCTCTACACTGCACAAAGTGATTGATATTGTTTTAAGATGTGCTTTGGGCTACATCGTAATAACATTTCTATTAATACTCAAATCTGCAACGTGCTTCTGTAGGTGTAAGCGTAAAAAATAAAGAAAAAGAAAAAATTATGTACAGAGGCGCACTGTACGAAATGGCTTTTTTTTTTTGCATAAAGACGGTATAGTTGGAGGTGCTGATATGCCGCGATGCTCCCAGCACGTGCGCCTCGGTCTTTTAAGCTATTTGGGACAAGTGCCGCCAGCAACACAGAATGATCTAGCAGACTTCCAAAGTCGCGTTGTTGTGGCCATCGCCGTGCGTTGTTTTCCCTCGTTTCTGTTTGCTATTTTCGTGCTTTGCCTTCATCTGCGATAACGTTCGGCGGTATAATAGAATCGAGAGAGTATACGTGACTGTGGGAGCTATGTGCGGTAGCTCTAGCATAAGCTATGGCTGCTGCAACGTAGACGGCGTCTATGCGCGTTGGTGTCGTTCGAGCGCTTCTACTTGCTTGATTGTGTTTAACTGAGTATTTAGGCACAGGTTACGTTTGCAAATCCCGTGGTCAATAATCGCTAATAGCGTGCCCCTGATTGCCATCAGAGGATGGGGTTGGTTGTCGAAATATGCCAGACGCTTTTTCTGAATGCAACCTTTGGAAAAATTTTTTAAAAGAAATACTTTCAAACGTGCTAGGCAGTGCCTATTGCAGGCCCGCAACTCTTAAAAAACTGGACGAGCTATCACATCTTTCATCAAATTACAATGAATCAAGATGATTGAATTATAAATCACGAAATTCTGTGCTATATTAGGTGCACAAAACACATGTTCGCAGCCCTACGTCTAGAAAGCAGGCAAATAGGAAGCACAGCGTCAAATTCGGATTACACTCCATTGACGGAGCGTCATGTGAGGATAGAAAGAACGAGAAAATTGTTCAATTTTGATGCCCTTATAGAGGCAGTCAGAATTGCACTGATTGGTGACTTGTAACAATTCCTCAGATTGTTAGAGGCGTGATTAAAGTCAGTAATTCTTTTACTTTTTTTTGCAGACCTCTTCGCTAGTGCCACGCTTAAGATCATTTGTTCTCTTGTAAAAGAGAAAGCAGAGATATCTTCACTGTTTGTACATGAAGAGGTAAGTTTCTTGTGCGTTTTGATTATTGCTACATGTTCTGAACGTTGTACTTTAAGAATTGTTTTTCACACTGGCTCACTACCCTAGAAAAAATTCGATTCTTAGGTGAGTTCAGGCTTTCGTAATTGCCATTTTTGAGCTGTAGTCTTACACTTCACCTCATTTCGGGAATTTGCTGTATGCTGGAAAACTCTTATCTTTATCATAAGAAATTATTGGAATGTATGGGTTGTATGCTTCGAGTTCAGTGTAATGTCAATTACACGCCATTTCGAAGGATACACACTACACATTCTTTATATATGGTGCTGCCAGAACCACACGAACATCATTTTATGAGAAGTCATATTTGCTCTTAATACAGGATGAGAGGGTGCCGCTGACGTCCAGCGTAGTCTACCCCGGCCCCAGCTTAGAGCAAGCCTACTTCCTGAACCTCCACATGGATAACCGAAAAATCTTCCGTGTCAGTAATGACGAAGAAGGAGTGACAGCACTGATGAGTCGATTTTTTTTATTTTCAACATTGTCTACGGCCGCAAGGCCTTTAAGAACCACCGTGATTGAGCGGCTTTTTCTCGGCGTGAGTTTGCAGTTTATCAAAGAAGTTGTTCAGGCAGTATGACGCTGAAAATTTCAGTGTCACAATTTCTTAACAACTTTTGCTAGTGTGGTCATGGTAGATGAACAAATATTGTTATTTGTGTAAGTTATTTTGCTTAAATATAGCTGGACCATTCCATGCCAAACGTCCCAGCCACTTTGGCGACCATCTGAATTGTATTTGAAAAAAAAATGTGCTGACTTACTTCGTTGAAAACAGTGAACTGCTAGAATATTTCAGCGAGAAAAAAAGTTTTGTTCATGTGGCTGGCTTATAACTTCCTGACATAAT